TGATTCAGTATCCAAGGTTGAGCATAAAGGACCTCATAACTCATACTAGAAAATTCATAGGAATCAAATTGGCACTTAGTATATGTTATAACGGGCTAAACATCTCTATCAAAATTAATATAGACCATCTCACAAAACGATGCATTGACGAGGGGAAGTTTAGAATATATATAATTGCTTCAATGATTCCCCAGTATGTACCACCTTTTCTGTTGGCTGAGCATGAATGCATGCTAGACCGTGGGCTATAATTATGTTTCATGGTACTTGTCATTCTTAATTGTTAAATATGGCATTTTTAACATAAAATGGTAGGCTCCTACCGTGCTATAATTATGTCATTGTTAAATGCTAGACTAGTGGCATTGCCACTTCCATGGACATTATATCATATATTGCAGGCTCAAGAAATTAACAAGTAGAAGAATAAAATTGCAAGGGATCTATATTACATTGTTCATGTGGGTAAGGTGCAGATCTAGCTCACGCAAGTTTGTTATTGATGGATGCATAGTTAGAAAATGGCATAGTGTCGTCTCACTTTAATATACCGAGGAGCACAACTAAAATAGTTGTAGATGATCACGTTGACAAACCTCTTGGTTTGGCGTTTATGTTATGTTGCAAATTGGTAGTAGTTTGGTATTGAAGTATAAATCTGGTGTTGTGTAATGCTGGTGTGTTAGTTTACATTCATTCAGCCATATATCTACATGACATTAACTATTACTCCTATCATGGTAGTTTGGAAGTTCTTTTGAGGGCCAAGGCAATTTGGAAGTGTTCATTTTTGTTTTGTTTTGGTGAACCTTCTCATACAGCATATCATTTGAGAGTTGAGATATTTTTATCTGGGCGTATCTTCACAAGGTTTAATTTGCATTGACATGAGAAAATACAATTGCAAGATCATGACATGTAAAAGACCATCTTAGAAGACAATTAATCAACAAAAATATGAATTAATTTTATACCCTCAAATTAATCAAACTAAAGTTTGGAATCATGAACTTTCCAAATTCACAAGGGAATCTCTCATAAATATAATTATGCAGATTGAACCTTTATGATCACTCGTTTGCTTTTTGGTGTTGAATCTCTATACTTTTAGCTTCTAGCGATACACTTGCACATAAAAAATGCTAATGCACAACAATTTAATTTGTTTGCCTTTTTTAAAAATTAAACATTAATTTGGAGTTGTTTAGTTTATGTTTTCTGTTCTATATATAGAGTTTAAAACTTTATTACATGAAAGAATGAATATATGAGCTTATATTTTGTATTTGCAGATCTTCGTGCATTCATAGAGGTCATATACATGGATCAGGATCCTCTGACCGGACAAAACCAACCCAGGAAATCGCCCACAAGGATACATGACACTGTCATTGCTTGAATTTAAAAAAATAATGAGAAAAATATGGTGATCTTCTGCTAATAGATTGGTGAACTTTTATATTTTATTAATCTTCATATTTAATGACAAGTTGAGCAATATTTTTTCTCGATAGACAACATCTAATATTTTGATTTCCTCCATCCCTGGTCTACTCACATGGCGTCATCATTGAAAAGGGACCATGCAGAATCTTGTGAATATTTTGCTCTCTTGAGAACCAAATAAAATACTTGATAAAATATTCATAGAAGATCTTATTCTTGAACCCTATTGGAAGTTATCTTGCGCAGCCACTAATATATTGACACATCAGCAGAACATGTGATGAGCTGGACCGTTAAAAAAATGGTCACACCTTGTGTTTACCACTAAACAATTGACACATCAGCAATGCCATCTGACCAGTCCGGTGAATCAAAGCTTGCTAGTGGAATTCTTTTATATGGAAGTAGTCATGGCTAGTTTTTTTTTTTTTTTTTGACGGAAGTCATGGCTAGTTTTCATTCACGCACTTTGGATATTTCCATTTTAACGGGTCATGCACAGTCTCACTTTTATTTAAAAATAAATAAATAAATGTGAGATTAAACTAGGCTTAATAAAACAACATGTAGTGCATTTTCCATTGAGTAATTATGAAAGCATCTATGTTCGTCAGCTACAATATTGATGATCCTTAAGAAAAAGAATTAGTGAGAGCTACTCATAATTGCATTAAAGGAATTAATAACAGCATTATGATCGTATTTGTTTCTTCTCAATGCCCGACAAACTACTTCACGTACTACTGAAATTCCATATTTGTTTCTTTCCATGCTGTATAATAAATTTGTAATCACACTAATTTATTTCTCCACAAGAGACCACAGTAATCCTGGTTAGTTCAGTTATATGTTTGCATTCTTTAATTCTTTCAAAAGTTAGGTATAACCACTTTTTACTTATGCAATTCACAAAAATGTTCTGCCAATAAATTATGGAACAATATATACCATCTTTATTAGCATATATACCATCTAGTCAGTCTTTATGCCACATAACTTCAAAAATATCTGATTTACATATGTTAATTATACTATATATATATATATATATATATATATATATGTGTGTGTGTGTGTGTGTGTTTTATGTTGCCAATTATTTATAAAATTGGCCTTAATTTCAAAAACTGGCTAGATTAATAAATCTATATCTCTATATCATACTTTCATGTCAAACATTGTTGCAATATTTTCTGAAATGATTAGGATAATTCAGATTATGTTTTCTTATCCTCTATTTGTGTTATTTTTTTTACCAAAAAATGTGTTGGCCTGTTTTTTTAATGATAAACAACTTGTAACAATATAATCATGGTAGAATTTTATTCATTATAAAAATGGTAGAACTTTATTCATTATAAACATGGTATAATTTTATTCATTATAAACATAGTAGAATTTTATTCATCTTCCACTAAAGTTCCAAGACGTAAATACTAATATTTAAGCCACCTTGGATAGCTCTCTCTCAAGAAAAGAAAAGTTAAGTCTAACTAGACTAGAAGTCTCCATGGAAAATCTCGGCATCCATATATTTATACCTATGCAATGGATAAACCCGCCCCCACATCCCCCTCCCTTACGCCCATGCCAAAACACCATCTACGACCTTTCGTTGTGCAAAACAATTTAATTGTTATTTAGCACAGCTCACTTTCAAAGGACATCATCATAGTTTAATAGGTCGGGATCAGCACATAAACCCGTACTTTACAACCATATATTGAACCTACGGGCTGCTTTACTCTTTTATATATATGAATAGAGAACAAATGTCTAAGTGCGTGATTTGTGTATGTTAGCTTGCCTATACAAAATAGGCTAGTCATAATACAAACTTTGGATGCTAGGTTGTTACACTTTTTTCTTGCATGTCTTGCTCCAAACATTTGTCTTCTTTCCCATTTTTGACAAACTATTGCTGTATCCACAATTTTGACAAATTGTGAATCTCTCTTATACATGGACAGTTCAATAAATATTGTCTCAAAATAATGTCGTAATTTCATCTTTAACTCAATAAAACTAGTGATAATTCATATATTAGATATGCTTACAAACTTTGTTGTGTTATCTCCTAATTTTCTCAAATTTTAGAATACAACATGTGCACGGGTAACACATCTTTTAAAGTGTACATAGTTGAGAACACTAAAAAGAACTTGCAGTGTGAACTAATAACAGTAGGCCGTGTAAGCATGGTTGCATACTTTGATTTTGGTGGTGTAGCCCCGTGCAACAACTAGATTTTGGTGAAATTGCATGGGTTGTGCATTGCTGTGTATTAGCAGCACGAATGATAAAAGTAGTGTGTAGGTTATAAAAGGAGAGGGTGGGGTGGGGGAAGATAGAGTTTGGCGAGACCTTTTTTTTGGGGGGGGGGGATTTGCAATTATGACACTGCAGCAATAAGCAGTTTGGCGAGACCTAGAGGTCCAATTCTTGAATTATTTCTTTCCAGCTAGTTTAAGCTCTTTTGAGGATTCATTAGAAGTATTTATTTTTTTAGGGGGAAGGGGGATGACATACAAAAATTTAGTAGAGTACTACGCATATAAATCCTGTGATTTGTATGCCCATACTAATCGGGAATATAAATAAATTCTCACATTAATAAGAAGAAATAATATGTAAATCTAGCTATCAATCAAAGTGATCAAGGCGATACCAGTTATCAATTGAAACAAAAAAAATCTATGTGTTATAATATATGAATAAATCTAGTTATCCATCCTTGTGAAACTGATTATATAAAGATTGCTTATCAAGTTCAACCTACTATCTTTAATATTGAATTTGAGAATTAATAAAGTTACTAAATGTGAGACTCCAAGATAAATACAACTTGGTTTTAATAATTTTAAGTTTCAAAATTATTTAATCATGAAGAAATATCTTATTAATAAACCAAATGCAAAGAGCATTTATAAATGTAACTTGGTACGCAACGCAATTATTAATTTTGGGTTTTATAATTATTAAACAAAGAAAAATACTAAGGTGATTCAGAAGTCAGAGTAATTATGTTTTTTATTTAAGTCATGAAGAGCTATAGATTCCAAATCGGCTAAACTCACTATATACTAATTTCAAAAAATTAAGAAAAAAAATACTAAATTGATATTACAACACAAGCTAAACATATTTATCTTGTGTTAAGTTCTATTTTGCAAATATTGAAGCTATGAGGTTTATCTTGAAAAGTATTTTCATACTTATATTTTCAATAACTTTTATGATATACTCCATATGATTAGAAAATGAAATGCTAAGCATGTGTACTGGAGATTGTGTCAGATGTTCTATATGACAATTATATTAAAAGATAGGAATGGATGGAGTACAGTATAGTATAAAGGAATAGGTAGCTAGCTAGTTGCATTTTCTCGTGTACATCCATGTAAAAAAAGAAGAAGAAAAAACCATAAATTAATTGCAAGTTCATCCATCAAGAAAAACCAACCTTAAGAACAAGACAACTCCAGTCAAAACCACAAACATCACAAAAGCTCTTAAGTCATCACCATTAGCTGTACATTCCAAAACCCCAAAAGCCAATATATCACCTCCCCCTTCCACTTTTTATAAACCCCTTGTATTCCACTTCTCTCTACACCACCTTAATTTCTCTCCTTCCCATTTTTTGCTATTTTCCCCTCCCTCTCCTCTTCTTCTCTTTGCAAGAACACTTCCAATCATTCTTTTGGTTCTTCACTCGTGATCGATCGATTCACTTTTCAAAAAACAAAAAATAGTTGTGTTTTTTATTGCAACACGATTAGTAGCTATCGTCTGCCTTTTTCTCTTGCCAAAAGCATTTCTTGTTGTGATAATTTTGATGTCGACGGTGGCGGCGCCGGCGGTGGAGGATGCGAACAAACACTGGGCGCCGCACGGCGCGGTGCTGACGGCGTTCGTCGTCGGGATCAACCTGCTCATGGTCCTCCTCGTGTTCTTCTACTTCTGGCGGTTCTTCTCCGGGAAGCGTGGCCCGCCGCCGTCGTCGTCGTCCATGGCCGGCGGCGCCGATGACGAGGAGGCGGCGTCGTCGGACTCGGACACGTCGCCAGCGGCCTCGCCGAGGGTGTCGTGGCGGCGGCTGCGGGAGTGGCCGGCGGGGCGCCGACAGCAGGAGGAGGACATCGCGTCGTCGCTGCCCGTGTCCGTGTACTCCTCGGCCGACGTCGGGAACGGGAAGGCGGCGGCGGAGTGCGCGGTGTGTATCGTGGAGTTCCGCGACGGCGACCTGGCGCGCCTCCTCCCGCGGTGCGGCCACCGGTTCCACGCCGACTGCGTCGGCGCGTGGCTGCGCCTCCACTCCACCTGCCCGCTCTGCCGCGCCGCCGCGCTCCCCCTCGCCGCCTCCACCGCCACCGCCTCCGTGCCCAACAACAACGACGACCCAAAGGACGACGCCGCCGCGCACTGCCCGGTGTGAGGAGTGCGCGCGCGCCTGCGCGGCATCCGCGCCACCACCGCCCCCCTCCCCCTCCCCTCCCCCACCAGCGCAGGCAGCGCATGCCGCTCGCGCTCTCGCCGGCGCTGCGCGCGACACGCGCCGGCGAGAGCGGCAGCATAGAGCTTGGACGATCGAGCACGCAACGGAGGTGGGGCGAGAAGGCGACAGACAAGCATCGTCGGCGGCGTCTTTGTCCAGATGGAATGCATGGTTGGTGATGAGATGAGATGAGATGAGACGAGGCGAGATTTGCCTTCGACTTCAACTCGTACGGCCGCTTTCGTTTACTTTCTTCTTCTCCATCTCTTCTGCTCTTGTGTCAAATCAAACTATACTCTACATTTTCTTTCTTTGTCTCTTTTTTTTTTGAGGGGAAAGTATACTCTACATTAATTTGTAGTACATGTGCATATCTCATAAAGGTATATATATGTAGTACTATAGGTATATATCTAAAACATTAATTTGTGTGTGTGCATGTCTTTCGATCTTCTGTATGGTTCTCTGTGTCATTTGTTTGAATGCGATATAATTAGTAGCAGTTGATCGTTGTAATCAAGGCGCTGAATGTATATATATGGATGCAAAAATGCGAGTAAGAAGAGCATTATAAATTAATCGTGTTGGTTAATCTTGTGGTTTAATTTCATGTGGATGCATGATTAATTGCAGTGGCATATGCATGCATGTGCAGTTGATCGAAATGAAATGACCCTAGAAGCCCTTCAATTGCTTGGATTAGTCGTACGTCCAGATAAGTGAGAGCCTATTGCAAAAGGCACTAATTGAAATCGGGCGATCGTACATGTAATTTCGTCGTTACTCATGAAATTTGTCGCTAGCTGATCACCTCAATGATCGTGTGAGTGATGTTAATTGTGGCCAGGACAAGATATGAATTCGTTTCGAATATGGTCGTTAGAGATCTCGCTACAGTCACGCTTTATTGATATATATATTTTTTACTTTAGGAAAAAACATTTTGCACAAATTCGCCCGAATTATAAGTCACCTAACGATACCACCAACCTATACTAAAGATCGATTATTTTTAGTCTCGATTATTTCAACCGAGACTAAAAATACCTATGTTTCACTACCACATAAAGGGCCTTCGATGCCGGTTGGGAAACCCTCTTAGATGCTGGTTTTCTCAACTGGAACCACGTTGGCGGCACTGATTAAAAGACCTCAAATATGTGCTAGTTTAGGAACCGGCATCTTTGAGGTATACGATTTGCAAAAAATCCTTGAGCCGAGCCGATGCTTCAAAGCACTAGAAATAAATCAAAAAAAAAGAGAGAGAAAACAATCAACAATAAGTTCATGGATCAAATGTTAATCAAATTTTCACATCAGACAATCAACAACAAGTTCATGCTCAAATGTTCACATCATTGAATCAAACATCATAAAAACCAAGTCGCGTCGCCTCCTAGGATGCAAGTCGGCACGGGTGCTCACCGTAGGCAGAATTAGCATAACACTGTCGGCCAGTGTAGGCGAGGAGAGTCAGACGAAGAGGCCGCCGAATCCGAAGCCCCCCGGCGTCGTCGCCGCCGCCGCCTTCCCTCCCGCCGAATCTGGCAGAGGGGAGGGCTCCGCCGCCCCTCCCGCCCCTGCTAGGCCGGCGCCGTCGCTCACACAAAGAGAGAGAGAGAGAGGAGAAGTGGAGAAGTCGAGATAAATGGAGAAAGGGGGAGAGAGAGAAGCCGGCCTTATCTCCTCCGGGTGTGGGTCCCGCCGGGAGAAGAAATATCTCCTCCGGCTCGGCTCGGCATGATTTTAAAGGTGTCGTTTTTTTTTTAAAAAAAAGAAAAACCGGCACCTATAATTAAATTAAAGGTGCCGTTTTTTTACAGAACTGATACCTATAATCACTTAAAGGTGCCGGTTTTTTGTGTTTTCAGACTGCGGAGGTGGGAAAAGGCCTATAGGCGTGCCAGTTTTAGTACTTCTGGCACCAGGGGCGGATCCAGCAGGTAGGCTTCATCAGGCTCTAGCCTACCCTCCAATTTTTGCAAAAAAATATCAACTACATAGGATATCATTCATAGCTGCTGTTGGAGGAAGACGAGAAGAGGTCGGGTGTCAGGAGGAAGATGAACAGGAGCCCCATGGGAGCGATCTGATTGGGGAGAGGGTGAAGCGGTATGCATTAAAGGCCCAATTGGCCAATTCCGCATGGCCCATTAGGCACCAGCTCTTTGGGTATTCAGCTTTAGGGATTGGATTGGACACAAGACGATGGGGATGGCTCACTGCGATTGAGGGCTTGCGGCGGCGGCGGCGTGGCGCCAGTGGGCACGAGGTGCGGCGAGCGCACGGTGCCACGACGGCAGCCTAAGACCTGAGTGCCCACGGCTACGACGGGTGAAGGGGTGTTGGGCACTTGGGCGCTTGGCTGTGAGCCGCGACGGGCAAGCCACCATGCCAGGCGCCGGGTGATCTATGAGGCGGGAGCAGGCACACGTGACTGAATTGGCAATCCATATCGCTTCTCGCTGCTCGTCTAGTCTGTTGTGCTGCTGCTACCTACAGTGAGTCCTATCCTATTTGTATATTGAATCAGAGGATTTATCATTTATGAGAAATTAAGACTTAAGTTTTGTAGTTTCTTTATTAGTTGGTGGATTTGAAATGGAGAAGAAAACAACATTGCTTGATTACTTTACTAACTCTCCCCTACTGATGAGGCTATATATTGTTAAAAATACTAGAATTTTATCCCAATGAAATCTTTGCCAATCCAACTCAACGAATACCATAGAGAATTATGCTTTGAAATTAGAGATGAGGTAGCATATTTGTTAAATTTGAGTTGTATAAGGGTGCGTGGTTGATTTTTAGTCTTGTCGACTTCGACTTTAAGCCCACACTTAATTTTTATGCTGGATTCGCTACTGTCTAGCACTATAGTGCCGACACCTATTAGATGTTTTGTAGTAGTGTTTAGTCCTGGATTGTTCGTCGACACCTATTTGATGTTTTGTAGTAGTGTTTAGTCCTGGATTGTTCATCCCAGTTGCACAACCAGGACTAAAAGGGGTTACGAGCCGGTAGCAAAAATAGGTTCCAGTATAAGGCCAACAAATTTCAGGATATGCATTAACAGTTGCATCAAATTACTTGGCAAAACAAGACAGACGGCCTTATCTTTTTGCTTATGCTTATACTTATCAGCCAAAATTTGATTTCTGAACCTTAAATTTGGAGCTGATTTTGGGGTTTTTTTATCGAAGTTTATTTTTCACCCTTTGCTTTTAGATCGATAGGAACACATATATACAAGTTTTATTCACAAATTACTTTTCGTTTGTAAATATATCATTTGGTTTATTCCACCAAACAGCCAAACGATGGGGCTGAGAACTAGTAAAACTGTATATTAACAAAAGATGCTTTCGAAGGACAAATTTAATTCTCAAATCAACAACACATGCTTATAACTTCAGAATATTAATTAGGGCGTTGCCAAACAATGTTGAACACCAAGAATGTCTAATATCTGGCAATCTGATCAGCATTTTGCATGATGCCAACAAGGCTACAACCTCAGCAAGCATTGTGAAATTAAACCATCATGTCAAACTGTCAATTGGTCAGTGTATTTTAAAGCTAGGTCAGAATGTCAGATACTAGATTCTTAGTAGCTACCTTTAATTATGATTTAGTTCAAAAGAGTAATATTTTCAGAAAGGAAAATAGTGAGTCTGGTTCTCTACTTCTTTTAGTGTCCAAAACAGCAGATCAGCATGTGGTTCAGCTTGGTTCTCTCTATCCAGGGTCCAAACTTCTGAGTTGAACTAAGGTATATATGTTATGCAACATTACGCCATCACACGACAATTTTGCGAAATTAGGAGTGCAATTCTGAGGACTACATATACACAAACAACAATCTTGGATAAGCAACAGAAATGACACAAACAACGAATTTGATACATGATGTAAAACCCAGGGGCGAGATTTCCCTCTGAAAAAATGGTGGAAGCCATAAAACACAGGAGAGATTCATCCCATCCTTTGTAAAGTGGTGGAAGCCAATTAAACCACATCGCAACTCATTCATAACAAATATCACATAGTTTTGGTAGAGTACCAGATAGGAAATGATCAGTCGAGTAACATATATAGATAAGCATTGACTAGTACTCCTTCCGTTTCACAATGTAAGTCGTTCTAGCATTTTCCACATTCATATTGATATTAATGAATTAGACATATATATCCATCTATATTCATTACCATCAATATGAATATGAGAAATGCTAGAACGACTTACATTGTGAAACGGAGAAAGTAACAAACATGAGCTGATTGAGATAAATGGATACAAAAGTGCTGCTGCGAGATGGGTCACAGAGAGGCATACATATATACATAGTCATATTAACTGATACTACTAACCGATAGATACAGATAGATAGGTAAATTAAGGCCGGTCAGCTGCAGCCAAATTAATGGAAATGATCACAGGTACTCAATCAAGATCGTCGTAGTCCCAGTCCCCGAAGACGATACCGCTGAAGTCCAACTTGGCCAGCTGTTCATTGGCCATAGCCAGGCACGCGGCAGTCTCCTCCAGGTAACTCTCATCCACCACAAAGTAGCCATCCTTCTCGAAGGCCTCCAGCTCGTCCTCCAGCTCCTTGCAGTGGCCAGTGTACTCCAGTTCCTTCTCCGGCGAGAGGACCTCCAGGTACTGAGCGCTCGGCGGCGGCTCCCTCTTCAGCGAGAGGATGGCGGCGACGTACGGGTCAGGCAACCGCACCTTCTTGCCGGAGTGCCCCTGCTCGCCGCCGTCGTCCGAGGTCGCAGCAGCGGCAGCGGCAGCGGCCACCGCCACAGAGCCAGTCGCCTCTGCCTCCACCTCCGCCGCCACAGCCTCCTCTGCCTTGGGACTGGCCATGATCTGTAGCAGCAGCTGATCTGGAATCGCCGGAAGATGTGGGTCGGGGGATGTGTGGGGAGAAGCGGGGGCGGCGTCCAGATCTTTAATAGGCAAACCCTAGATGGAGGGAGGATCCAACTCGGGCTATGGCTAGGTTTCGCTTGTGTTGTGCTTCGGTGTACGACTCGGACTCTGATCTTCGGGGTCTTTAAAACAAACACTTGCTTACTGTTCGTCTTATTTAAAAACTTTTATGAAATATTTTCTCCGTTTCATAATGTAAGTCATTATATTATTTTCCATATTCATATTGATGTCAATAAATCTAGATAGATATATATGTTTAGATTCATTAACATCAATATAAATGTGAGAAATACTAGAATGACTTACATCGTAAAACGGAGGGAGTATGTAAAACTATATGTATACATAAAAATATATTTAACAATGAATCAAATGATAGAAAAAATGATAGAAAAAGAATTAATAATTTCTTAAATTTTTTTAAATTAGACGAACAGTCAAATATATTTAAAAAAATCAACGGCGTCAAATATTTAAATATTTATAGACGGAGGGAGTATATTCGGCCTGGGCCCAACATGGGACTACTGCAAGTCAAAGTCAAAGGATCCTATGTACAGTAGTTAATCAAGAGAGTTTCTACGCAATGTAGTTTGAGATGCATATATGTATCAGTTGTAACATCCATAATAATGTG